TAGGTTATCTATCATGTTTAATAATTAATTAGGCCTTTAATTAATTATCTCCCACTATTTTTAACAAATCAATAACCCTCGATATTGATTCGGAGATTTCCGGCGAAACCTCTAGTGGGCCAAGATCCATATTTCATTATCTTGCGTTCCGCTTGGGCGTTACTCCACAAGACAACTATTTAGGTAGGAACATAGTTCCAACTGATGAGCCGGGCTCTCAGCTCTTGGTCTGGTGTTGGGCGAACAATATTACTACAACCGGACCAGGACACCTTTTCACCATACTTGTAATTGGCTGAGGCACGTCTTACAAGCAGACTACTTTGGTTAGGAACAGAGTTCCAATTAAATCATAAAGATCCAACTCCTGGCTGGATGAGTGAGTAAAATCATCCGACTTGTCATTGATGACCCCAACTTACTGCCTCTGAGTCGTCCATCCATTTGACCGAGACTCAGTTAAGTCTAACCCAACGTGCGACAGCGACCACGCTATGGTGGTTCCCGTAACCAGCTTAACATACACCGTACTATGCTCTGCTGAGGCTGAGTACATGACAGTGCACATTAGCCGGATAGGTGCCGGGCGTCAGAAGGCAACAGACTTAATATTCGTGAGGGATTTATAATTTCGATCTCACCTATCGACATGGCCGCGCACATGTACATTACTAGTGTTTAACATACATTCAACATGCATTCACAAAACGCAGTAAATAAACGTGTAATGATTGTGGCCCCTAAAAGAAAAATAAAACGATAGCTCCCACTAGCTTCCGGGCACTTGGACTTCGGGCTATCTCCATTCTTTTAGATTTCTCCAAACGGTCTTCAAATCTTTTCGTCTTCAAACCACCACGTGAGAAAAGAATCCTCGGTTGAGGTAAGAGAGAGAAATAGATTTACAACAAGAGTTTAAGAGATAAGGCACGACACGCAGGCCGTATTATAATCAAATAAACTATAGCCACAATCATCCACCATGCATATGATACATCCACACAAGCAATAGAGATATACATACACCGGGTGAACCGCGCTCACCCCAGACAGTTCTAAAAAAAATACTACGGCAGTAAATATTTTCTAAAACTCATAAAATTAAATTAGATGTCCAAATATATCTAATAAAATTTTATAAATTCATTTTATATACTCTGGATATTCTGCCAGCATAAAAAAAAACATCCAGAATATTCCAAATGACCAAAATGCCCCTTTTGCCAAATTATATTCAAAAGGCCATTAAAATTTTGAAACAATTTTGCAAAAATCATGAAAATTAAATTTCAACTTCAAGTAATTATTTTCAACATTTATAAACCTGGAAATAAAATTTCCAAAATTTATAAATCATTATTTCCAAAATATATTAGTTAAATCTCAATAAGTTATAAAAAGCCATTTAAATTGATTTCGAAAATATTAAATTACAAAAATTTAATATTTTTAAAAACATTCTTTTTCTTACTGAGATATAACTTTCCAAAATATATATTAGTCAATTATGTAATTAAAATACAAATATATAAATATATATAATATTTCGGTAATAAAACCGAGTACACATATAAATATATATTTATTTAATTACTAACTAATATTATTTTGAACAATATATTTATCAACAACCTTATTCAACTTAGAAATAATATTTCCAAGTTTAATAAAGTTCATTTTTAATTTTCCATATTTATTTTCGGTTTTCACCTAAATATATACAATAAATTCAAAATAGGAAATAGTGCATTCAAAAATTACAATATAATTTTATCAATCATAAAATGATGTTTTATGTCCAAATAAAATTATATTTACTATTTCTACAATATATATATAAATATATATTTCGAAAAATCAAAATATATATATTTATATATATACTACGGGTAGAAATAAAATAAATAAATTTAAAACTCATTTTCAATGATTTATTTAAGTCCAATACTTAT